GGGGGGTGTTGGGGGGTTTGGGGGGTGGGTGGGGGGGGGGGGGGGGGGGGGGGGGGGGGGGGCTATGTGTTGCAAGAACCAAAATATCTATTAATAAAATTTGTTTTGTTTTAAAAAGAATAAATTAATAATGGTATAAAGCAGGTTTGTAATGAATGAAAGCGAATAATAAATATTCGTTTTAAAAGAAAGTAACAAATTCCGTTTTAAACCGTTGAGTTTGTTTCAACAATAGCCTCTAGCTCTGTTGCGCACAAAGGTTTGTGGGTAATATGCGGGTCCAACTTGCCTCGAGTCAAGGGGGGCAACTAGCCCCGGGTGCACACTTTTTATTTTAAAAGATGGCAGCCATTTATGGTGCTAGAATGAGCAACGATGATACATCTCTGTGAAATTTGAAACAATGAGCTTCAGTTTGATGCCCTATACATTTATTATATTTGATCAAAAGCCTATGAAAATAGATTTTTAAACCTCTTAAACAAATTTACTTTTAGGTGCAAAAATCGTTTATTTCGACTCAACGCTTAAGTAAAACTTTTTAACGTCCGACACTTCCTTAGCATTGTAGGCTACGGCCACTTTACAAGAGTATGTGGCCAATTTTTTTTACCTCGTAGTTACTTTTTCATAAATTGCCGGGGGTCAACTTACCCCGGGGTCCAACTAGCCCTGGTCTCCCCTATATTGTTGTTCCAGAACGTTGTAAAAATGTTTTAAAAGATCCAAAAGATAACGGTATTATTCTGTGTTAGCTGGGGTTACGTAACTGTATTGTAACTTTTTATAGAATCATTTTTGAAACTTTTGTACATAGTTATTATATTTTTGTTACTTATAAAAAACGCATTCAAGATTTCAGTAGTGAAATAAATGAGACCATAACCTATCACTGACGATGCATAATCGCAAGAACATGTCTTCCACTTCCTTGACAATCGTGATAGCGGTTGAGCGTCTCGTTGCGATTGGTGAGATTCACACCAAAAGCAATTGCCCAGANTTTAATAAAGAATAAATTAATAATGGTATAAAGCAGGTTTGTAATGAATGAAAACGAATAATAAATATTCGTTTTAAAAGAAAGTAACAAATTCCGTTTTAAACCATTGAGTTTGTTTCAACAATGGCCTCTAGCTCTGTTGCGCACAAAGGTCCAACTTGCCTCGAGTCAAGGGGGGCAACTAGCCCCGGGTGCACACTTTTTATTTTAAAAGATGG